AAAGCCTCCTTCGCTGGTATAATTGCAATCCTCTGGCTGTCGTTGGGGAGGATCAGCATCAAGCTGAAGGGCGATTGCAAGGAAGTCTGATGGTGTATAAAACGGGCGATGGAGAATGTGAAGACAGATATTGGTTGCTGTCAAACCACAGAGATTGGTCAGGTTCTCAGGCTGGTTTGTTGGATGCTGGCCAACAATTTGCAGATCAACCAGATGGTGTTGCAAGCCCAAACTGTGTTGGGTTGTTTGCTGGTCAGTCATTTGCAGATCACCCATGTGGTCTGCGTGTGGCGGAGCACAAAGTTGTGTTTCATCCGCGCAATGCTGGTCAGCCATTTGCAGATCCCCCATGTGGTCTACGCCTTGTGGGGTCAACTGCGATCCGGGCAGATCATGTTCCAATCCCTCAACATTTAGGGCTGCATCCTGAGTAGGGACTATACCTGGAGTCGGGAGTGTCCTCTGGGCAGCGGCCACATCCTGAGTAGGGACTGGTGGCTACCTGCAGGCAGATGGACTGTCTGAAGGAGTCATAGGAGCGGACATTGCCGTTTGAAACAAAGGAACCGCAACAACCTGTGGAGGCGGCACAGAAAGAATCGGGGCAGACAAAGAAACAGGTTGCTGATCCCCGGACAAGTGACGATGACGCGGGTGTCGTCGGTGATACACAACAAGAGGAGTAGTGGTGTTGCAAACAGAAGCTGAACTCGTACCTAGCAACGCAGGTGGAACAATGGGGACAATGGAAACTGGAGAGTCTGTTCGCAAGTGAGACAGTGGAGGAGATGGGGGTGGTGAGAAGGAACGCAGTTGTCTACGGCCAAGCACAGACAAAGATGAGAGGGGGGTGCATTGGGCAAGATTTCGGAGCAAAGGACGTGAGCGTCAGAGAGATTGTGATGTTCTTTGCATTGGAGCTGCAGGACAGGATGCTGTAGCAGTAAAAACTAAAGTAGGGGGAATTACAGTTAGGGAAACTGCTGTACTGAAAACTGCAGCAGTGGAAACCGCAACAGTAGAAACTGCAGCAGTGGACACTGCAGCAGTGGAAACCGCAACAGTGGACACTGCAGCAGTGAAAACTGCAGGAGTGGAGACTCCAACAGTGGAAACTGCAGGAGTGGAGACTGCAGCAGTGGAAACTGTGGTAGCAGCAGATGAGTAAGCAGGGGCAGGACGAGAGCATCGTGGGGGCGAAGAAGAAATTGGACGATACAAGGACCATCGCAACATGCGTCGGAACCACTGATAGAGGCGCGTCACATGTGTAGGATAGCGACGCTGGCGGGAGCGCATGTAGCAGGTCCACCCCTTAGCAAGGGTTGGTGGGGAATGCCCACGCGAAAGCATACGACGAGTAAGTGTTGTTTCCGCAGTTCGAAAGTCATTGCAATTGTTACAGATTTGTTCAAATTTGGTCAACTACCCCATGAACACACCAGCCGGTTGATGGGAAGGAATGTCGGAGGTCGCACTTGGATAACGAATGACAGGGAAATCCCAAGCAGCTGCTTTATCAAAGACGCTCATCCGAAGCGAGCCATTCAAACAGACCCGTAGCTGCATACCTAAAAAGGTACAAGAGCCATCTGTAGCTGTAGTCTCCTTCCACTCCAGCCCATAGTGTTCTGGTGGAGGAGGTAAATGTCCCCATGAAAGAACATCAATGAGGCGATAGGTGAAGGCATATTGTTGAGCAGCTTGAAGATCATGTTCACGAATGTCATCAACAAAGCGTGCTTCATCCCAATACAGCGTTAGAGTTGTCCATTGGCCACAACTAGGTCCTCAAATAACCATGTTGAGGGCAACGCAGCGTGAATGCGTGCGAGCTTGCCAAACGGCATAAGCATGAGCTTCATCAACAACTTTTGCCACATTATTCAGAATGCGGTCATGAGGAAGGTTGGTGTACATTGTAGTAAAATCAACAGTGCGAGGAGAGAGGCCACGAAGAGACGATGCATTGTTTTTCAGGTCAATCGCCACTTCATCGGCACTCTGAACGATCCAGCACCGTCGAACACAAACCTGTTGATAAAGTTCAGTGTCTTTCTCGCGAAGTGTAAAGATCACTCCTTGCAAAGCAACGCTGAGATACGACGAAGTAGTCGTTGTGCTAGCCAAGGGTTTGTGAGGAGGCCGTTCATGAATGGTGCAAATTGTTGGACGAGGGCGAGCACGCGGGGGAACAGCACTATTATTTTGTGCTGTGACTCCAAGAATGCTGCGAAGAGCTGGAGGAGACTTGTGAGCTATGAGTACATAGTAAGGGTAAGGTAGGGTATCAGTGCGGGCGTAACCCCAATGGTGATTCCACACAGCATGGTGGTCAAGGACATCAGCAATGGACTCTTGAGGACAAGTATATATTTTTTAAAGTATTTTGGGGCAACCGGGGAAGTTGCCCTGGGCCACTCTGGCCGCCCAGATTAAAAAAGACAATTTCTTTATTTTTTTTACCCGCTCGGACAAGTGGTCCAGGGCCACTCTGGTA